GAAAGGAAAGGCGAGGGGCCCTGACGGCATTCCTGGAGAGTTATGTCGACACCATCCTTCAGCGATTGCAAAACTCCTCTTTCCGACCATGATGAAGATGATCATCCATGGTCATGAGCCATTGGAGTTCAAAGGCGGTCGTTTGACCATGGCCTACAAAGGACGTGGTCCACATGATGTATGTTCCTCGTATCGCTCGCTGTTAGTGTCGAATCACTTGGGAAAAGCTATCCATCGGGCGATTCGCCTACAACATGCAGAGGTATATGAGAAGTTCCTACAAGCTCAACAAACAGGAGGTCGAAGAGGTGTTCCGGTCCAGCTCCCCTTGCATCAAGCTCGTGCTTTTGTGAGACAAGCACGGGCCAAGCGACACTCATCAGCGATTCTTTATTTGGATCTGACAGAAGCTTTCTATCGGATTTTGCGTGAAATTCCGATTGGCGGCATTGTCACTGACGAGTTCCTGAGCTACCTCATGGCCCGTCTCAACCTGCACTCGGACAGCCTGCATGAGCTGCATGCTATCCTTGCTGAACCTCCTGCGCTGCAACAAGCAGGGATGTCAGAGATGAATCGAAGATGCATGCAAGCCATACATACCAGTACCTTTTTCTGGCTGGAGGGTCAAGAGGACATCTCAAGGACCAGGATGGGGACAAGACCTGGTGACTGTATGGCTGATCTGGTGTTTGGGTACGCCTGGGCATGTGTTCTGAAGAAGTTGGAAGTTTACATGTGTGAACATGACGCGCTTGCATTCTTTCCACAGCGTGAGCATCTCCCATTATTTGGACACTTTGCTTCTGAGGGTGACCATGTTAGTTTTGCAGGGCCGACGTGGATGGATGATCTTGCCTTATGCATGGAAGCGGCAAGCCCTGCAATTCTTACACGGCATGTGGCCAACATTGGCGGTCGGTTACTTGACCTTTGTGAACAACATGGAATGCAACCCAATCTGGGGCGTGGGAAAACGGAGCTGATGATGTCATTTCAGGGCCCAGCTTCACGAAAGGCCCGTGTCCAATTCTATGGGCCGATGGCCAGTCAGCAATTTCCCATTGTGCGAGAGAAATGCACAAGCCAAATTCAAATTGTTAGCAGATATCGTCATTTAGGAGGAATGTTGCATCACACGGGAGATCAGGCAGTTGAAATTCGTCAGCGTGCAGCCGTGGCCCATGCAGCAATGAATCAACACAAAAAGATCCTGTTTTGCAACCCTCAGATTGATGTGAGGAAACGTGCAGAACTGTTTCAGATGCTGGTCGTGACAAAGTTCTTGTACGGTGCCGATACGTGGGTTGCGATGGATGACAGAACGATGCAAAAGTTCAGTTCGACAGTCATGAAGCTCTATCGCAGACTCCTACCTGAACTACGACATGATGAACACATTTCTGACCAAGAGATCCTCGTGAAGGTTGCACAACCCAGTCCTCTGGAACTACTTCACAGAGCACGTCTCCGATATTTTGCGACTTTGGTGCATGCGAAGCTCCCGGAGATTTGGGCACTTTTTGCGCAAGATGTTCATTGGTGCTCTTTGATTGAGCAAGCAATGATATGGATGTGGGAACAACTGAAGGCTGCCTCTACACTTCCTGATCCACGGGAACATTATGTGTATTGGTTGCAGCTGATTCAATGTCACCCACGTTATTGGAAGAGACTTGTTCGGCGCGCTTGTGAACACTCCATTCTGCAAAGGCAAAAGATGACCGAGGTTATTCAGTTTCATGAGACGGTACTTCAAAGGGTTGAACCGCTTTGCGATGGTTTACCCCAGGAGGAACCAGCAGATGGAGATGCCCCCTGCAATGTCTTCGGCTGTCTTGGATGTGGACTTCGTTGTCGCAGTCGAGCTGGGGAAGCCGCGCACATGTACAAGAGGCATGGACTTGGCTCCAGACTTCGTAGACTTTTTGATGAGCCTACGTGCCCGGCATGCCTGAAATGCTTTCATACCAACCAGAAAATGAAGGCTCATTTGTATTACAACCGAGCATGCCGACAGCGTCTTGAGAGCAACAACATGTCGTGTCATGTTGCTCCTGGTGCTGGCTCACAAGAAGATCGACGACGTGAAGAACATCATGATCGTGTGCTACCGCCAATACAAGGACTTGGCCCTCTCCCTGAGGTGGGCCGACAGCGCGAGATCATTGAGTACTATGAGGAGCTCTATGACTTCTTGGTGGAATGGATGGAGAACCAGGATGACATCCACACGTTATCAGCTCAAATTCAGCTGTACGTGCAGAACAAGGCCATTTCATGGACTGGCTTTTGTGCGACACTGCGCTTTTTCAAGGATTCCGTGGAAGTGACGGATGCCGAGGCCTTCAACTTTGACCTGAAGGCCTTCCAGTCGATCATGGACGAGGTCATGACGCCAACAACATGGTCATGTCTGCAGTCCAGATGCAAACCTAAAAAGCGTAGTCCACAATTGGAAGATCTTAATGAAAGATGCAGGCGCTTGCAGCACCACATCGAATGTCATGGAGTTCCTCATGTGCCTCGCACCTTTGGGAGGCATCGTATTCTTTTACATGCCTTTTCGGGGCGACGCCGGGTGGGAGACTTGCAATTCTACGTGGATCGCTTGGCCTCCTTGCGAACTGCCTATGTGGTTCACGTCATTGCCATGGATATCATCGTGGACCCCCATTGGGGGGACGCTTCCAATCCACAGACGAGAGCGTATTGGATCCAAGCGATCCGCAACAAATGGGTGCTGGCCTTCGTCGGGGGCCCCCCGTGCGAAACATGGTCTTCAGCCCGTGGTCATGCTGTCGACGTAGAAGATGAGCGTTCAAGCCCACGCATCATCCGCGACCTTGAACAGCTTTGGGGCTTTGATGCCACGACGCTTCGAGAAGTCAGCCAACTGATTGTGGGCAATACGCTTCTCTGCTTCGCTCTTTGGGCTGTGATGGAGTTAGCGCTGAGTGACGGTTTCGCTGTGCTGGAACACCCGGCAGAACCAGCGCAGCCTGAGGCTGCTTCAATCTGGCGTCTCCCTTTCATGCAAGTTTTGTTAGCCATGCCTCATGTACAGCAACTTAGGTTTGCGCAAGGGTTGCTTGGAGCGCCGTCTCCGAAACCAACACATTTACTGGTGGTGAACCTTCCGGAACTCTTAGGTGATTTGCACAGACACCGTGTCCGAAGGGAATTGCCCAGACAGACCGCGATTGGCAAAAGCCATACCGGTGCCTGGCGCACGACCATTCTGAAAGAATATCCACCAGCATTTTGTTGTAGCATGGCTGAATCCTTTTTACGAGCTTTTGATGCTTGTGAAGTTGATCACTCCATTGCCCCTTCCGACGAGTTTCTTCGTCGCTGTGCAGTGATGGTTTGTACGGAGTACGGCCAGGCAATGGGAGCTGATTATGCACTGTAGGCTTTACAGTTGAATTCACTGAACTTTGCAAGGCCGCAGCGACAGCTTCAATGGGCCGGTGGAAAAAAATCCCATCAATATCCCCATGATATTCTATTTTATTAACATCCCTAATTATATTCTATATTCCATCGAATGATCCATCCAAGGTTATTATATAGGTAACCTCCGGTAAACGGGCTAACATTTCGAACTGGAAAGATCCACCATCTTTAAGTTCGGTAAATCAACTATTTCTATGGGCCATTTTCAATAGCTACGTAACAAATTTCCAGAGGGTAGTCTATATATAAATTATAGCTTAATACTCATACATTATTATCTAATAGATCATAATGGAAAGTGTTTTTTTCCTCCATTCTCCCGATAGAGACACCACCTAGAAACCATGGTTTAGGAGATTTACACTGATTTGGGACCATTTGGGAAGTGTTTAATGTTCGGGGGATGGGATTAATTGAAAATCCGAACATCCTACAGGATGGGGCCCCGAAGATAGCTAAGTTGCCTTATAAGTGGCTTTATGGTAGATATAACTAACTATAGTTAATAGGGGTTATAATGGTTTATAAACCCACTTATAACTGGCGGGCCCCATCCTGTATTTATAATGGATGATTTCTTGGGTAGCCGAAAAATTTTCTGAAACTTCCAGATGTGGTGAAACTGAACATTATGGGACACAAAAATGGAGTTTCATTCATGGAACATCATGAACATCAACGTGATATTTCCGGGAGATTCTGGGAAGATGGCTGGAAGCTGGGAAGATGGGGTGAGAATTTCACCAATGGGAAAGTCCATGGGAAAATCCATCGGGTGCCTCAGGAGAGATGGTGCCATGAAAAAAAAATTCAGGAAGCTGGTATTTTTTTACTGGGGACAAATATGGAGTATAACTCATGCATGATTTCTGGGGATATGTGGAGAATGTGGTAAGCCCATGTAAGCCCAAGAATATTTGATAGGATTGCCCTGAAGATGGCAAACTGGGGTTATTTTACTGGGGGTTGGGACCAATTTCTCGGAACAACCCCAAAGTTTAAGGGGAAAATCATAATTTTCCCTCTTCAAATAGCCATCTTGGGAGCTATACATATACCACCACATTTTCAGACCATAGAATTATATAGACTATATAGATTTATTGTTGGGGTTAACATTAGGGATGTTCCATTCTTGACTTTGAAATGGCTTTGGACATGTGGTAAACCCAGGAATCAAACATCCCTCGTGACTTTTCAGAAATGGGTGGCACAAAGCATCAAACACTTCAAAATTGATCAACATGGGCCATTTGACCCAGGAAAGACCCTTAAAACATGAAGCGCGCATCTGCCAGCAAGTCATACTTGAAGGTGTAGTTGAGGTTACTTTTATGGATGTTACCATGGTTATACACCCCCATGTTTGTTGGGATATAAGTATAAACCCTACAACTATGGTTATGCATCCACTTCTAACTGGAACTGCACTTCCAAGTAGCAAGTCATTGGTCAAAACAGCGAAAGTGATCACTGTTTCTATTGGATCATGCGGAGGATGTTCAGAAGAGACAGTGGCAGCAGAAGTGCCAGAGGAAGCAATGGTGCCAGTGGAAAAGGACGTGCCCGAGGAAAAAACTTTACCAAAGAAGAACACAAACTTGAACAAGTTCCAGCACGACCTCCTGGTGCGAGATGATGATGAGCACCCATTTGATCACGACTTGAGTGTGTCTGAAAATGTGGTATACCCCCAATATATTGGCATTTTGAACAGGGTACACTTAAGGTTTTAACCAACGGAGTGATTCTTCTTTCCCCCTAAAAAATCAGGCACCGATGCCATTTCAGACGGTTCTCTGTGGGTTACTTGGGTGTGCATCTGAGGGATCTGATGTATGGTTCAATTTCGATGAAGATGCCAAGGGCGAACTGAAGCCACGACTTCGCGCAGATGATCAGAGACTGTTGAGGCTAATCCCCACATTATCGACTGGTAGGATCCTTCCATGATGACGTGGGTCAGCAGTTGCGCCTGACGTCGACTTCGCTGGCGACACCAGCGGTAAATCCGCATCCTGAGCTGAGCTCACACCAGAACTGCTATAAAACTCTGTAAAATTGATCCCAGATTGATAAATTTTCAGGTACCGAACCCGTCATGTGGCCATCAATTTCTCGCTTTTATAGGCCGTTAATAACCTCCATTCGTGTTTGGGGGTACTCCAACTCCCATTGTTGCTGATTGGTTTCATCCAATCCCCATTGTGGATGCTGAACATCAACAATTCTGGATCTTCAGGTACCAAACCCATTGGAGCCATGAAACATACTCCCATCATCTCCCATCCCATTCAATGAAAAACTGGTAAATAGGGATCCTGTGTTGCAAAACGTCGCCAGAAGAAATAGGGATAAAGGTGAAAAAACGTCGTTAAGAAGAACTGTTTTCCTTCCAATTTTCACATCAATGAACCAAGTATATAATTTTCTTTCATTAACTGCTTGGTTGGTTCACGTTTGCCAGTTACAAGGGGTGGCTGAAGGGTTCAGCCCCTGTGGATTCCATCATTCCATCAGATGGTGGATTTTTCATAGGCTACAATGTGAGGCCCCCCAGTGATGTTTGTTGGTTTAGATTCGCCCCAGGAACTATAGTTACAAGTACCATAAACCATAGTTATTGGAGTTATAAACCAAGTTAGCTATCTTGGGGGCCTCACATTGTATGTAACAAATATTAGGGTGTTTCCTAAAATCAGGATACACAAAATGGCACAATAGCTGCATGGTTGAGTTCATGGAAAATCCTATGAAGATTGGATGATTTGGAGAGACTGACTCATTTTAGGAAACCATAAAAAATGTGCCATAGGGAATAATATGTTATAGTTATAACCCTAATGATTGTAAGTCCTTGATCTTTTCATAATTTTTCATAGTAAGTCATAGGCTATAGGTGATTCCGGTGATATTTACAAACCGCTTATCGCCCATTGTATTTCCATTTTATCCCAAGTATATTCCCGCTTGTATGCCCTTTACATACCCGTTACATTCCCACTTGTATTCCCGTTGTATCGCAGGTTTTATTCCATTATTAACTAAGTATCCCATTGAATATCCTCATACATCATGTTATTACTCATTTTTTATTCATTAATATTCAATATTCCATTATATCTCCCACATCATACTCCCAGTATATATATATATATCCCCAGTTATATTTGATTAATCTTCCACTATATGTCGTTATATATTCATAATATCCAATTGTCCATTATATATAAGAATAGTTTTTATTTTTATTTTTAATACAGTAGTATCTCCAGTTATATTCCATTAATGTTCCATTCATATCCCATTTCACTACAAACAATCCCACCACAGAAATTCCTTCACTGTAAGGAATATCATTTCAATCCTTTTCATTAATATTCCAATATCCAAGTAAATATATACATTACTTTAATATACATTACTCACCTCCACAGTATACTCCAATAATATATACCCTTTTTAAATAATTTAATGTATATATATATAATATATATATACATACAGTATATTCCATTAATATTCCACTCACATTCCATCTAACATTCCATGTAATGTTCACAAATCCCACATCAACACATTGATATTCATATATCTCCATGATATTCCATATGTATCATTTGAAACCACCAACCAGATAGGTAATTTCTACATTCCATCTAATGTTTCATCTAAGGTTATTATCCATATTGTATCCCATTCTATCCCATTCTTTATTCTAATATTCTAATATTCTAATATTCCATCGATATTCTAATATTCATATATTCCATATTGCATGGTACCCTCTGGTAAATAAACATAGACCCTGAAAATCACCAATTTTAATGGAAACTAGTCTTCCAACCCCTATCTGCCAGGGTCTATGTTAATATACCAGAGGGTACATATTTTTTTTGAGGTGCCTTATTTTCAGACAGCCCCATAGGAATGAAAATTCATCATGTTCTGGCTCAACCTATACCCCGCATATATACCAGCACCATGGATCCGTCATGGGATATTCCATCTGTCATATTAACCCCTATTAACTAGTTCGTTATATCTACCATAAAGCCACTGATAAGGCAACTGAACGCTATCTTCGGGGCCCCATCCTGTGTGAATTCACCATTTTTGTTGGTTAAAACATATTCCATCGATATTCTAATATTCTAATATTCTATAATTATATTCCATCCATATTCTATATATTCCATGGTAGTTTCATATAATTTCATATATTCTATATCTGTCATCAAAAATCGCCTCCGCAGTTGACCATCGCCGCGCTGGGCACCCTGGGCGACGTGGAGACCTGGAGTGACACCGAGGCGGCGGTGGTTTTTTTCGGGTTCCGAAGCAACGAGACGCCCACCGGGGGCCGGAAAAAATGGGGGTTTTCACGGTGAAAAATGGCGATTTCATGGGAAAATTGGCATGAAAACTTGAGATTGCACCCTCGAAGAATGGGGATCTTGCTGGGATTTTACGCAATTTAGATTTTAAGTATGTCAAAAAAAAGAAAATGTCGTGATCGAAACTCAAAACCTACGGTCATCAACATAATTTTGAAAGAACTTGGTGAAGTGATCGTTCTGTGTGAAAATTATCGCGACCTTGAAGCGACCAAAACCCATAGTCATGATGGTCTATTGTCCATGTATCCATCCCAAACAATCTATGGGGTTTTAATAGGGTTTTAACGGGGTTACAATCCCACAAATGATGATAACCCTTCATCAATGTCCAGTTTCAGGAATATGTATAATTTGATATGCTGCCCAAATTTATAGTTTCCTACTCCTTAACGATATGGTAGCATGCCGTTCTTAACTGGTATGGCACGGGGTACTTCAAGCCAGTTGCATTTGTTTGGGATAGGAGTTGAGATCTTTTCACATGGGAAATTGGTCTTGGCAAAGTGGTGACCTGGTTTTAGGATGTTTTAGGTATGGGGCAACTAGCCGAAAAATCGCCCAGCTCGGCTCGTACTTGGATGGTGGCACCACTCATCGAAACTTCATAATAAGTATCTGATTGGTGGTTTGGAACATGGTTTTTATTTTTCCATATATTGGGAGTTTCATAATCCCAACTGACTAATATTTTTCAGAGGGGTAGGTATACCACCAACCAGGTATGGTTACATCAGCCACTTCTATCCAGGGTAACCCCAAGCATAAGAAGGAAATCACCACGTATTTCATAGGTAAATCATCAAAGTAAATGGGCCATGGCTTCCATAGAGCTATGTTTTTTCAGAGGGTACTGTACACTCATCAGGACTGTACACCATAATCAAGGCCTACACAAATGGCTATGGATCAATACCTATTAATACCAGTTTTAGGGGGATGAACATCCATTTACCAGCTATTTTGATGTTCACCAGGGGGATAGGGTTTTGACCCATCCCCAAATGATCTTGCACCAAACATCGGGACTGAACAGCTCTGCAAAAGGATAACACCGAAGATGCTGGGGATGCTTTTCACCGAGGGGATTGAAAGACTCGAACAGTACCTGGTGATGCCCCTAATCCTAGCTACTGTAGTTGGTTTAGAACTAGGCAAACTATGATTGATGCTAGATATATCATGATATATCTATAGTCTATATGGTTCAATGCGATTTATAAACCAACGTTCACAGAACTGGGGAGATCCACCTTGTAGCGAGCAAGATGGGGAGAAGATCTCCAGCTTTTCCCATGGGATTTTGCCGTGAAATATGGGGGTTACACCCCGTACATTTTCCCTGAAACTCACTGACTAAAATGAATGATTTCGGGGTACCCCCATTTCAGCCAGACCTCGTTCCTCTGGACCCTAGACAGGTGGTCTTTATCACCCGAAAGTTGACGCTGAACGTGGCCAAAGTGGTCCGGTGTCTCAGTGCGTCGGACGAGTCGTGGCTGGCTCGGCAGGGAAAACCAAGAATCTATAGCTGGTTGGTGGTTTGGAACATTTTCTATTTTTCCATGACTTTCCATTCAGTTTGGGAATTTCATCATCCCAACTGACTTTCATATTCTTCAGAGGGGTAGGTGGCTCAACCACCAACCAGATAGGGATTTTTTGTTACTCAGGAGACGGTGGAAAAAAGTGGTAAACATAGTGATAAGAATAGTGTTTCGAATAGTGATAAAAATAGTGACTATGTGTATATGGAGATATAGTGACTAATGATATGTGTATATACTATTATAGTGATTATTAGTGACTATGTGACTATTTTATATATATGTTAAAATGGAGATATCCAAGCTGGAAAAGCCAACTTGATATGATATTGGAGTGTGTCTCAACTGGTTAGTATGCCAGAACTTACGACAATTTTACTATAGTGACAATTATGATCAAACATGGAATTGTTCGGTACCCTACGTTCAGACAAACCCATAGAGATGATTGCTAGGTTGAGAAATCATCTCGATTTTTTGTTTGGGTAACGTTAGAATTTGCAGTTGCCCAGACTCCGCGGGGCCTCAAAGAACAGCAGTGACCGAAAAAGGCGAGAAATCATGGGATTCTGGATCCAAAAAAGTTGATCAATGTGGGATGTAAACAACTCCCATGACGGGGGATGGTAAGTTAGTAGCACTTCTGGTTGGTGGTGACTGGAACATGGCTGGATTATGACTTTTCCATTCAGTTGGGAATGTCATTTCATCCCAACTGACTTTCAATCCATCATTTTCAGAGGGGTAGGTATACCACCAACCAGACTTATATATGGTGACTTGGGGATAGTTTTATCGCATGATCAAACCATCCATTGCTTGGTGGCCTTTTTTTTGGGGGGAGCAAGGCATGATGGAAAACGGACGTGTTTCTGATGACCAAGGGCAGAAGTGGATGACGTGATTTTTCTTTCATGGACCCTGTACACCGATGGGAAAACGATGAGAGTCGACAGTTCTGAAGGCATTTTCAACTGTTTGGTGACTTGAAGCCTCATTTTTGCTGGTGAAACATCTAGTGTTTCTCCATCATGTTTGTTCGCGAACTTCCAACTGCTACACTTCTTTGTTGGTGAATTCCCAAATATATAATTCATTTATTCAAATATTCCATATATATATATGCATATATTATATATATATATGCATTAATATTGGTTTGATTATATCATAAGTTATATACATGAATTATATCTCCCATATGCTCCATGTAATCTGTACCAACGGCACCACAGGACTTGATCGTGAATCTCATCAGCGCCAAGCACAAGTGCGGTAGCGGTCCCGACCCACACCCGGCCCGGGGGCTCCGGGGATTTCTTCGGGGATTTCTTCGGGGGCAGATCTTCGGGAATCTGGGTACCCGGCCTGGTCAACGTTTACAAAAAGCTATGGAAAGATCCACCATTTTTAATGGGAAAACTATGGAAAATCACCATTTTTAATGGGAAAACAATGGAAAAACTATGGAAAATCACCATTTTTAATGGGAAAGCTATGGAAAGATCCACCATGTTTCATGGGAAAACTCACTATTTCGACTGGGCCATTTTCAATAGCTAACTATGTATGTTTACCAGAGGGTATCTATAGAAATCCCTTCCCCGTAATATTAAACACCCACTTTGAAACCATGGTTCAGTAGGGAAGTGCCGCAAAATTGGGACCATAGAAATGGGGTGTTTGATATTAGGATGATGGGATTATACAGACAAGGTGGTGCCCCCCCCAGTTATGTTTGTTGGTTTATAAACAATAGTAACTATAGATATAACCCCCTAATCAACCCTAGATATCCCTAGATTAGATATTGGACTTATAAGTTATCTTAGATAACTATGGGGCACCACCTTGTAGTACATTGAGTTGTTTGATTTCTGTGTACACCACTGTTTTATTTGTTGTATTTGTTTGTTCTTTTGGCGGGTAGATATCATTCCAGCGAATTTTTTGGCAGGGGATCAAGGATGGGATATGGTATGGGGAGTCTGTTGTCTTTGTTGGGGGGAAAGGACTTTTGGGATGGGCTGAAAGTCGGATAACTTAGACGCCTAAAAAGTTTGATAATGCACCTCCTGAAAAGGGGATACTCCAAGGTGAAACAATTTGTGGGCACTTTGATGTGCACTTTGGTGTATTTTGGTACCTAACTTGTTTTGACTGTGCCCATGGGATTTATGATTTATGGGAAATCATCGTCTATAGGCTCTGTAGGTACCAAACATCGACAAACATACTTGGGGGTCCCTTCCTGCAGGTGTTGTGATTCTGGTCTTGATTGCTTGAGAGCATTAGTTATACCAAGCATTTGCGGGTCACAAAATGAATCATCCCAGGCATATAAATCATGTAGACCCAACTTCCAAGTGAAAAATGCAACCGAATAAATTGAATCAACAACAGAATTTTCCCTAATATTCTCCAGTCATCCCAGGTAATTCTCCCATCATCCCCGTTGTTTTTAAAACAACGGGGCGCCTTAGCGCCTTGCGCAGGGCACCACCACCACCACGACCATGGGGCAGAACATCACCCTGCTGGTGGCTCCTGTGGTGAAGAAGGTCACCTCTGAGGACCGACCGCATAAAATGTGGAGATTTTTTTTAATGGGAGAGTAGTGGAATATTGATGGGGAATATATACATCGAGTATATATATATATTCAATATATATATATATTCAATATATATATATATATATTCAATATATATATAATATAATATGAGAATATCTTAGCAATAAATATCAATGATGCAATGATATTGGTGGTTTCCTTAGTTGAGGTATAGGAACTGGCCACAAAAACCGGTGGTTTAGCCAAGAAACATGGTGGTTCTGCTGCAGCATCAAAGCTGGGGCCAGTTGTCCCGCCTCATTTGCAACGCCTCGGGGTGTTGGGGTTTGAAGTTGGATAGACCCTGCCATTTTTGGGCTTAAAAAAGATGAGGTTCCACTAAAATGCTCTGTTCAGGTTGTAAGTTGGTGGAGAACAGATGGCTGATATCAATCCAGATCCAAGTCGGATGCACAAAGGCCGGGTCCTGCTTGAAATTCGATGGCTTTCAGGGAAAAAACATGGACACTGCTGAGGGTTTTAGGTCAATGTTCCCTCAAAGCAATCCAAAGACACCCTTGGGTCTGCTAATAAATGAGGTATACCCGCAAATATCCCGCAAATATCCAATATGATTGGTAAAATGTTGATAAATTACATATTTTTCTTGAGGTGCCTTATTTTCAGACAACCCCATAAGAATGAAAATTCATAATGTTCTGGCTCAACCTATCGTTGGCCCGTGCACTTCATAGAAAGACGAACTAAGGGAATACCCGATTCCATTTGGAAATCGTGTGGTGGACCTATACACCGAGCTGACCACTACAGCCAAAGGTTGGACGTCACTTCCCAGCCCGGTCCCACCGGCCATTGAGTCCTTCCAGAAGACTGTGGATGACCATGGTTTGGACCTGGAGTTTGCGGCTTTGGTGAGGTATACCAGTACCTGAGGTTTGGTAAGCATTTGAAAATCCCCAGACACTGGAAAGAATATGTGCCAAAAGAGCCTCCTATGCCAGCTAAGCTGGTAATTCATGCAGTTCCCTCTTCGACATCGAGCAGCTAAGGGACCACAATTGACCACAATTGTATTTTGATATAACATAGTCATGGTATAGATGGCCCATTTATAGATGGTTTACCTATTAATAGCATGGTGATTTTCCATGGCAAACTATTAAATAACTAGAGGGTAAAGTTGGTTTAAACTCATTTGGATACGAAGGACCATAGGAACTAACCTGGAACTCTACGATTTTGCTCGCGAAAATCGCTGGTTTGTTGAGTCAAGATTTCTATGTGTGGTACCATCTGGTTATTTAACATAGCCATGGAAAATCACCATGCTATTAAGAACGGCAAACCATCTATTTCTATGGGCCATCCATACCATGGCAAACTGTTAGTCATAACCAAAGGGTATATCTATTGTAAATATAGCCAGAGGGTATAGATCTCAGTTGATTATAAATATAATATCCATATAATATCCATATATTATACCATGGCTATGTAACAAATCACCAGAGGCTAACCCCATGTCACCATCGTTCCACCAAGCATTTATAACATATCTTTTCAAATTTGCAATCAGCTTTTCATTTGCCAATCACCATCCAAGAATTTACCCTCTTTTCCAATCATGGCGGCACAAAAACCCACATCTTTTTTCGGATGATTTTCCCAGATCTTTCCAGGAAAACACCTCCATTTTCTTCATTAAATCACCACTAAACCACCACTAAACCACCACTAAACCACCATTAAACCACCATTAGACCACCACTAGGACTGCGAACATCGCGCCTTCCGGGCCTACGTCACGCCCAACGTCACGGCGGTGTCGTCGTTGGTGGGAAACCTGGGAGATGCTCGGTGGAACGATGGTGAAATGGGGCTCAAACGATGGGTTAATGGTGGTTTAATGATGGTTTAATGGTGGTTTAGTGGTGGTTTAGTGATGGGTTAATGGTGGTTTAGTGGTGATTTAATGGTGGTTTAATGGGATTTAATGGGATTTAATGGTGGTCTAATGGTGTAATTGTGGCTCGATGGGGCTTAATTTGGATGGTTTAATGGATTGTTCAATGGTGGTCTAATAGGGCTGAATGGATGGTTTAATGGATTGTTTAATGGTGATTTCATGGTTGGAGGGTAACCTGCGTGGAGGGTTCGGGAATCAGCTGGATTTGGCTGGGGTAGCTTTAAAAAAATTGGGTGTACTAAATTTTCAGGCAAAGATCTGCAAAAAAGATCCAATTCAGACTGGTTGTAAAGATTGCAGACAGCATTCTGTGATGCCAACCCTTAAAAGTGGTATACACCTATATTGTACAGAGTTCCATGATGATGTTTGTAGCTGGTAAACAGTTGTCAGACACAATATGAGGGTTTTCACACTGCAAGACGTGGGTGTTTTGTTTCACAAAACGGTAACATCAACCGGAACTGGAATGATTTCAAGGGTATTTTAATTTTATGTTTTTTTTGATATCATCCTAGGCATCAAGGAATTGGTCATAGGAAGGTGGAAAATTCGGACATTTTTCGCGGGAAGTTTCGCCATGGTTTCTCATACAGTGCATGAAAAATGATGGTATACTGGGACGATATCAGGGACAACAAAAAATGATCATCCATGTCGCTGGCGCCAAGGTTCACCAGTTTCTGAACATTTCACCACTAAAAATGGAACATCCATTAAGAATACCCTCTGGTAAACTAACATAGCAATGGAAAATCACAATTTTTAATGGGAAAACTCACTATAAATGGCCATTTTCAATAGCTATGTTAGTTTACCAGAGGGTAAAAGAAACCACACCAATGACGATGTTCAGACATCGTAATTTCATCGGTCTCTTTTATGGTTTGCAGAGAATTTCACCGACATTTCATCACGGTATTTGCAGAGCGTCTAAGATTGGCAATATGATTCATGATAAATCCCATGAAATCCCATTAAACCGAGCCCCACCAGCATTAAATCCCATTCAACCACCATTTTTTCCATGTGAAGTGACTCCATCGAGATCACTGCTCGAAGCTTCACCTTCACCGAGGATATCATCACCTTCACCGTGAGCATGCCGGCTGGCTACATCGCCAACGTAGGCAAAAATTCCGGGCCCGGGGAGAGGTGGCGAAAAACCCACTGCTGGCAGGTGAAAAAAAAACCAGTTGGAAGTGGATTTAACCCCTTGTCCCACTTACAACCAGGGATATACTTATATGGGTATGGATCAATACCTATTAATACCATTTTTAGGGGGATGAACATCCATTTACCAGCTATTTTGATGTTCACCAGGGGTACAAGGTTTTGACACACTGCCATATATATATAATTAGATGAATTCTATCAAATTATATCCTACTTAAAGTAATATGTAATAAAGTATAATAAAGTATAACATATTATCACCAGGGATATATCGCATTTTCACCAGGGATATATGATGATATCCTACTAAAAAAAGTAAATGGGATGAGCTCAGTTGGTTGAACTCACCCAGTTTCATCGAAGGGCGGTACCTTGGAAATAGTTTTTACAACTAGCATAGCAGAAAGCTAACTTAAGTCCATTGATTTGTGTACAACTGTTGTATACGGATATATATATATATACACTCTAATTGTTGACTTGGCAAAGTAATGGTTCATTTGTTGTGAATTGTGAAGAGATGCCACATATTGCATTTTACAGATGGATGAATGGATGGATGGATAGATACTATGAAACATAATGTGAACCGCTTGGCTGGCATTCAACGTCCTACAGCTACTGCACAAGTTCACTCCAAAGAGCCACAACTTTCAACCCCCAACCCTCAACCCATCCTCTGTTCCCTGCCTTTTTTTTCAGCGATGGAATGCGCCGTTTGAGGCAATGGTTCTGTGTCAGTGCTTCTGGGCACTCATGTGCCGATGCTCAGTCCTGAAGTGGATCTCAGATGGATTGTTTGAAAACCTGGCAACAAGTCTAGTTGGTGATGGTGACTTTCCCATTTCGGGAAATACCCTCTGGTAAACTAACGTAACTATGGAAAATCACCATTTTTAATGGGAAAAATCACTATTTCTATGGCCATTTTCAATAGCTATGTTAGTTTACCAGAGGGTACACCATTTGTGAATTTCCTGAATCCATAAGGGATATGTTTGACCAATATAGGGGGAAGCAAATCTAAGAAAGTACGAACAATTCCCCTAAATCCACCGGTTTCTCATCATCTCTATAAAAACATACCATTTAACGGGGATTCTCGGGGATATACCACACATTTTCAGATCACTCGAATGATTTGTATCAGCTTGGCGTTTTCTGTTTTCTCAAGATTTCTGCTGGCTATCCATCCAATCACGCGATTTGTATCTGTTATCCCATTTGGATGGTCAAATTGTATACCCCCTGGTAAACGTTTACATAACTATGGAAAGATCCACCATTTTCAATGGGAAAATCCACTATTTCTATGGTGATTTTCAATAGCTATGTAACAAATTACAAGAGGGTAGTATTCCCATTCCCCAAAAATATTAAGGACCCTTAGAAACCAAGGAATTTAAGGGAGAATCCCTGACTGCCCAGCCTCTTGGTGAATCTGTTCTAAAACATATCTCAAGCAATCAACACCAGCAGAAGATGGAGGCTTCTTAAGTTATGGGGGATCCCCAAGGTAAAACCATGATGGTTTAAATATGTTTCAATATTTAAGTCATGGTCCTTTATGACTTGGATGATGACTGGGGTAACCCCTGTTTTGTTTGAAACCTCTAGATGAACGTGTGATACTGGTTGGTGGTGACTGGAACATGGCTGGATTATGACTTTCCATATATTGGGAATAATCAGCCGAACTGACGAACTCATATTTTTCAGAGGGTATGTATACCACCAACCAGGATATTTTAGCAGTCAGTTGACGTATACTTACTATACTCCCATGTTGCCCTCACAAAGAACGGTGCTGAGAAGGGACAAATCACCGGCAAGTTATACCCCAGTCGTACTTCCTCGGAAGGTACTTGCATCCATAGTGATATATATATAATATAATTTCATTATTATATATTATATTATATTATCTTATATTATATTATATTATATTATATTATACTATTATCTATATTATTATATATAAATGGGCCATTTTCCATGGCTATGTTAAATAACCAGAGTGTATATATAGAGCACCCCCCAAAAAGATGCCGAAAGGTGATTCGACAGATCTGAGGCGTGCCCCCACAGCGTGGACAGCAAGACGGGAAACACCCTTCAGGCGCCGTCCTGGGCCGTTATGGTTGGTTTTGTTGGGTTCAAAAGCCGATCTATGGATAGATCTACCATAAACCATACCCTCTATAGTAAACGTTTACAGAAAACGAACTGGAAAGATCCACGATGCTATTAATGGGTAAATCAACGATTTCTATGGCATTTTTCAATAGCTATGTTAAATTACCAGAAAATAGCCATAGAAAATGGCCATAGATATACTTGATTTACCTATGAAACATGGTGATTTTCCACAGCTATGTTAGTTTACCAGAGGGTAGTTAATCTAGTGGATATAGATATCTGTAGATAGATCTACCATAAACCATAGTGAACAAAACCCTATCTTGGGCCTATGGATTGGGATATGAGATAGACACAATGGAATATTGATGAACCAACAATGGAATATTGGGACAATTACAGGAAGGCCTCCTGGAGGTTTGTCGCTTTGTCATGCTTTGTCGCTTTCTAGTCCCAATTAGAATACTAGTGGTATACATTCGTATACATTGGTATACATTATGTATAGATATATCATGATATATCTACCATAAACACAAAAGGTAACCATCTCTAGAGGTTTCTAGCCGGTAATACGCATCAATTGTCGTTCCGAACGGTTCATCTTGACCCCCCAAACTCGTCGCTCCTAGGATGATCCTTGAGCCTTTCTGGGAGATATTGCTGTGCCATCTGATGAAACAAACAACAATTCGAATCTGAAAATTTCACTTGGTGGTTTACCGTAAAAGTCAGTATATAGAAAGGTGATTTTTTTACATATTTAAACCTCAGTTTTTTTAGATGTTATAAGATAATGATAAGGCAGGGTTAGTCCCGTTATAACTGGGGTGAACTACCCTGCTTTGACTCGTCCACAGAAGGGTTCAGAAGAACCCCACCACCGCGCGAATCGCGCAGATCTCTTGTGCGGTGCCGGCATTTGAAGCCTCCACCGTGCCGATTAAGGTGGGTGGGCATCAGAAATCAGGGCACAATTGGGGCCTCTGAAAGCTAGGATGGAACAAACACCCGAAATTCACCATGTTCAAAAACGGAAAACTCGGAATTGATCGTTCTACAAAGCATGGAAAATCATCTTCCAAAACTCATTTCGTGGATTGTTTCGGGTTCATGTAGCCGGGTAGCCTCTGGTCATTTGCCTGGTAGATTTCCATTTTTGTGGTTGGTTCAAAATTAGATGATTGTAGGGATATCGTGGAGCCGTCCCAGTATACAGCAAAGCCTGATGGTTCCCAACCAATCTAGGTACAAGGTGGTGCCCAAGTAGTTACAAGTTATTTTACTATAGCCCTTCTAGCTTTTTTGTGCCAACTACATGAATAATTACCAGAAACAGTTAAATATGACCCATGACGGATCCATGGTGCTGCTATATATGGTAATTAACATGGATCCCATCAAAATACACCCCCAACCAATGTTGGCATTATTTGGCATTAATATACCAGCACCATGGATCCTATGGGTTATAGACACTCATAGATCAACTTACCCCAACAAAATGGGGCACCACGGGCACCACCGTAATTGTGGCTGCCCTCCCTCGGGTCGAGGGGAGAAATCCACGGGACATCATTTGTGGTGTCCGCTTGGGGGCCTAATTTTTGACCACAACGCGAAAAAATGATCCA